ATCATCCCGAAAACATTGCCGGGGGAACAGCCTACCAACAACTTTCTTATGCGGCCCATATGACAACACAGGCTACAGGCTTTACTCAGGACATTCAGAAAGCACTTCTGTCTGATGAATGGTATCAGGCTAATGAGAAAATCCTAAACCATAGGGCTGGTCTGGCATGGAAAGGATCCAAAGTATATGTTCCGCGCAGTCTATGACTTGAGGTGTCATGATGTCCATACAGCCAGACATTTCGGATTCCTAAAAACTTTGCACCTGATGAACCGTCAATTCTGGTGGCCCCAGCTAAAAAAGGATGTGGAGGACTGTGTACGGAGTTGCGTGACATGTACCACAATGAAGAAATGGCCCGGCAAACCTCCAGGCCTCTTACAGCCAGTGGTTTCTCCTGTAAGGCCCTGGGAGGAGATAGCCATGGACTTCATCGTGGACTTACCTGAAAGCCAGGGTAACACAGTAATATGGACAGTAATTGACCTTTTTTCGAAGCAAGCCCATTTTGTGGCTTGCCCAGGACTACCTTCAGCTAGAAAGTTAGCCAAGCTGTTCCTAACCAACATATATCACCTCCATGGAGTACCCCGGAGGATTATCTCCGATCGTGGGGTACAATTCATAGCAAAATTCTGGAGGAAATTTTTAGCGATGATAGGGTCCTCACAAGGTCTTAGCTCTGCCTTCCATTCTTCTACTAATGGAGCGGCCGAGAGGACCAACGCAATGGTAGAGCAGTATATCCAGTGCTACGTCAAACACCAACAAGTCGACTGGGCAGACTTAATGCCTTTCGCCGAAGTTGCATACAATAATACCGTGCATAGTAGCACTGGGTATATCCCGTTCTATATTGCCTCGGGTTGAATTCGTCCCGAGTGCCCCCACCCAGAACACGAAGCGTTAGGTTTACAGAAATGGGTGACACAAATGACAACGGTCTGGGGACATGTCAGAGATGCCCTGCAAAACACAGCAGAAAAGTACAAAAGCCAAGCGGATAGGAAACGACGCCACAACCACCTTTCCATGTAGGGAAGTACTTAAACATTAAGGTGTCAGGCAAGAAACTTGCCCCCAAATATATTGGGCCATTTCCAATAGATAAAATTATCAACCCTGTCACTGTACAATTAAGGTACCCCCTTTATTAGGTAAAACCCACCCAGTTTTCCACAGTAGTCTCCTACATCCGGTGGAGAGCTCTAGGTTACGGGGAAGCCCACCTCCTCCACCTCCACCTGTGGATGTAGGTGGAGAACCACATTACGAGGTGGAGGAGATGTTGAATGCTTGGCGATGTAGGGGCCACCTTCAGTACCTTGTACTCTGAAAGGGATATTTGGTAGCAGAAGCCTCTTGGGTTCCACACCAAAATGTAGCAGCAGATCGACTGGTGGCTAGATTCTACAAGAAGAACCCAACAAAACCCAGAGGGGGGGGGTGGACAGGGTCTGTAACCCTCTCTCCTTTTGTCTTCCAGCCAGCCACATGGTGGGGGGGGCGCATGTCAGCCCCACTTCACTGGGGCTGTCATTCCGGAGGGGACGGAGACAAACAAATCATGCTGCCCTTGTTCCTGCACTGACACTCTTTCCTTAACGCCGCCTGCTTCCTCTTCTGACCACTATTCTCGGGGTCTCCATTTCTTCGGCACCGTTGGACGCATTGCCACCCCTCAGCTGAGCGACAGACAGAGCCATGCCTACGCAGATACCAAGCCGGCTACCTTAGCCAACATTAATGAGGGCTTACCAAACCCAACGTCCCTGGGCTACCCACAACTAATTACCAATTAGGGGAAGCAACTGGAACCCTCCAATCAGTGCTAGGGTTTGGGGTGGAGTTAGTGGGTGGAGTAGCAGGGTGGGGCGCACTGGGTTTAAAAACAGTGATGGGAGCACGTAGGGTTAGAGCTGACAATATTTTACTGAAACTGCACTGGGTGATTGTTGCAGTGTGCCAAATCGCGCAGAAGGTAAAACTTTACTACAACCTCCACATTGTTGTCTGGTGTTTCCTTTCCCATCCTGATTTGGAACCTGACACAAAGTGCCCAGTGAGACCCAAGTGGCATTGATATTTTTAGATGCTCAATAAGCTTTTGATAATGTGAATTGGGATTTTATATTGAAACAGGTAAAATATAGGGAATTCGGGGAAAATTTTATAAATGTATTTAAAGCAATATACTCCAATCAAGAGGCCAGAGTCATAGTAAATGAGGAAACAACACAAAGTTTTAAGATTCAGAAAGGTACGAGACAAGGGTGCCCATTATTGCCACTATTGTTTATATTAACTCTAGATGTATTAACAAGAATAATTCGGAAAGAAAAATTAAGGGACTGGAAATTAAGAAAGAAGTTTATGAATTGCAAGCTTTTGCAGATGCTCTTGTGTTTATCATAGAAGAGCCACTACAATCTGGTTAGCAGCTTAGGGAAGTACTGGGTGACTATGGGCAAGTAGCTGGGTTGAGGGTAAATAAAGAAAAAACCAAAATGATAGTTAAAAATATGTCCAAAACACAGAAAAAGGAATTGATGGGAGAATAAGTCTCCAAATAGTGAAAAAAGTGAAATATTTAGGAATATTATTAACGGTAAGATGTATAACAATTAAAGAGGACAATTACAACAAATTAAATGATCAAATTAAGGCTGATTTGGAAAGATCGGAAAAGTTGTAACTCTTCCTGATGGGGAGAATTGCAACAGTAAAAATGAACATTCTGCCAAAAATATTGTTTCTATTCCAGAACATACCCATAAAATCAGATAAAAAAATACTTTAGAAATCCGGATAAAATAATGTCTAAATTTATTTGGAAGGGGAAAAGGCCTAGAATTAAACTAAAATTATTACAAGAAGACAAAGAAAGAGGAGGATTCAGATTACCAGATTGGGAAAAATATTATCAAGCTGCCGCACTAACATGGGCGAAAGAATGGATACATTTAAAGAATAGGAGGTTACTAACATTGGAAGGATATGATATGCAAATAGGATGGCATGCATTCTTGTGGGATGGCAGACATAAAGCACACCAGTACTTCCAAAGGCATTATGTCAGATGAGCTATTCTTGAAGTTTGGACAAAAGTAAAGTAACAAAATTATTTGGAAATTCCTGTCTGGCTCTCTACATTAGAGGTGTTGGTACACCCAAACTTTGTCCACCTGGGAAAAGTAGTTACATACAAGGAGATTTTAAATGAAAGAGGGGAACTAAAATCTAGAAAAGGACTGTAAGATGAAGAGGTAGAATCATGCTATATGAAGGATCAAAAGGAGCGGGGTATTAAGAAAGAATTAACGGCGCTAGATAAATCTTATTAGGAACGGATGAAAAGGTGATAAAGAAAATTTATCAATATCTATTGGAATATAAAACGGCGGAAGAACAAGTGAAGGAAACAATGGTAATGTGGGCCCAAAAATTTGGTTATAATATTGATACGGATAATTGGCAGGATTTATGGGAGAGAAACAGGAAACTAATGTTAGCCACTGCGTACAAAGAAAATTTGTATAAAATGTTCTATAGGTGGCACCTCCCACCCACAAGATTAGCAAAAATGAACAGGAACTTATCATTACAATGTTGGAAATGCAATTTAGTGTCAGGATCTTTCTATTACATGTGGTGGTTATGTAAAAAAGCCAGGGAGGTTTGATGCCAGATTAAGACATGGTTGGAGGAGATACTAGACCAAAACATAGATCTGAAACTAGAATTATTCCTATTAGGAATCACAAAAGAAAAATATAGCAAAGAATTGATATACTTAATGCTGCATGTTATAACAGCAGCTAGGTTGGTTTATGCACAATATTGGAAAAAGGAGGAACATGACCACCCCCGGAAGAAGAAATAATAAAGAAAATCTTGACGTGCAGAAATGGACAGGCTGACACTAGAACTCAAAAACAAGGACGAGATAGAATACTATAAAATCTGGAAGAAAGTATACCAATGGTTGGAAAGGAGAAAAGGAGTTGGAACAAAAAAAGATTTAGGGTTTGTAGAATTGATACTGGATAATATTTAGACAAATATGTAAATGAGGACAAGGGATATATATATATATATGTAAGAACAAAGTAGCAATGTATGTTAAATAGTAATTATTATATTTGACCTGTTACCATGTCTATTCCAATTCAGGAGCCCTTATATACTGACAGTATGTTGTGGATCCCCATCAGCCAAAGAATTCTGACTGGCAGATTCTAGGAAGAGAGCTTTTTCTCCCATTGCCTCTGCCTAGTGGAACACGCTCTCACCAGAGGTGAGGCAGGTCCCCACTCTTCCAGCCTTCTGGAAAGCCATAAAAACATGGCTCTGTGCCCTTGCTTGGAGTATGCAGATGAATTTGCAACTGTGTTGCTGTCCTGAAAGCCCTTCCTCCCATCTTTCAATTAATTCTTAACATGTCTTGCCTCTTTATATATGTGTGTGTGTGTGTGTGTGTGTATGTATGTATGTATGTATGTATGTATGTATGTATGTATGTATGTATAGTTTTGGACAATGAGTAGCAGCTGGAACCTAATTCACAGAGGACAAAGCTTAGACTTTTCTAATATAGATGACCAAAGGGTAGTATGACCCATAGGTGAATAGCAGGGGTGAAATTCAGCAGGTTCTGACAGGTTCTGGAGAACCGGTAGCAGAAATTTTGAATAGTTCAAAGAGCTGGCAAATACCACCTCTGGCTGGCCCCAGAATGGGGTAAGAATGGAGATTTTGCAATATCGTTCCCCCAGGAGTGGGGAGGGAATGGGGATTTTGCAGTATCCTTCCCCTGGAGTGGGGTGGGAATGGAGATTTTGCAGTATCCTTCCCCTGCCGCGCCCACCAAACCACGCCCACCAAGCCATGCCCACAGAACTGGTAGTAAAAAAAATTGGATTTAACCACTGGTGAATAGGCATTATTAATTAATGATGGCAGGTGTTGGTTTAATCAATTTCTTTAAACTCTGATGATACCTGGATTTCTTCTGGGCTGCCCATAATTTGACTGGGTGGGCAGTGCGACAAAGGTGAATGGTCACGGACAGCTTGGAAAGTGCACTGCTCTTGCTTATTTATCAGAGCTGTGTTAGCTGTCCTCTGGTGAATGATGGCGCCTTTGCATCCTTGGTTTTTCAGAGTCAATTGTTCTTTAAGGAGGCCAATCACAATCTCTGAAGTGTGCAGTCTCTCTTGCAGTTTCTTGATACCTTGCCTCAAGTCTTCCTTTTCATCCTCTTTCTCCCAAACTTCTGACAACTTTGCTTCTCCAATTTGTTCTTTGAGTTCTGCATTCTCTAGACATAGACTAAGCAGGGCCTTCCTGTTGAAATACAGAGATTAACATTCAGAATGAAATATTATTTAACACCCACCTGGTGGTTATTCAGCTTACAGACACTTCTTCAGTTATCGCGCCCCCACTAATGACCAAAAAAGTATTTTGAGACTCAATCAGTTTGAAGATTGTTTTACTCAAAAATGTAGAATGTCACCAGTTAGAAACCTGACAGAAATAAGCTTATTTGTTTTTAATTATTATTTTTATCTCCTTGAGCAATGTATTTTACTACATGCTTCTTAAAAAAAGAAGAGTTAAAAAGAAAAGCTCAGCTGAAAAGTGGATAAATTGGGAAAAGAAAAATAGTAAATAAACAACAAAAATAAAACTCATTTCTGCCAGATCTCAAACAAGTGATTTTCTATAAATCAGGCAACTATTATATGTACTGTGCTATTGAAATTCCTATGTCACAATACACGTAGTCCTCAACTTACAGTAGTTCATTTAGTGACTGTTCAAAATTACATCACTGAAAAAAGTTACTAATAACGATTTTTCACATGACCATTGCAGCATCCTGATGGTCATGTGCAGTTGTGGGATTCATTTTCATTTTTCATTTTCATTTTATTAGATTTCTATACCGCCCTACTCCCGAAGGACTCAGGGCGGTGCACAGCCAAACAATAAAAACACATACAATACAAAATTTAAAAAATAGAATAAAATCAAATTAAATAATTTTGGCCCCGACAAATTTAAAACCCCAAACTTTTAAAACCAATTTAAAATTGAATATATAAATACTAAAAGAAATTTAAAATTTTAAAAATCTTTTATAAAAGAGGGGGAAAATTAGGCCAGGCCGGCCTGGTGAAATAGTAAGGTCTTTAAGGCGCGGCGGAAGGTGCGCAGATCCGGGATCCTCCGTATCTCTGGTGGGAGCTCGTTCCAGATAGTAGGTGCCCCCACAGAGAAGGCTCTCCCCCTGGGGGCTGCCAGTTGGCATTGTTTGGCTGACGGCACCCAGAGGAGCCCCTCTCTATGGGAGCGTACCGGCCGGTGGGAGGCTATTGGTGGTAGTAGGCGGTCCCGCAAGTACCCGGGTCCTAAGCCATGGAGCGCTTTAAAGGTGGTAACCAAAACCTTGAAGCGCACCCGGAAGACCACCGGGAGCCAGTGCAGCTCGCGCAGGAGAGGTGTTACATGGGAACGCCATGTCGCTCCCATTACCACCCGCGCGGCCGCACTCTGCGCCAGTTGCAGCCTCCGGGTGCTCCTCAAGGGGAGCCCCATGTAGAGAGCGTTGCAATAGTCCAGGCGGGAGGTGACAAGGGCATGGGTGACCGTGCATAACAAGTCCCGATCCAGAAAGGGACGCAACTGGCGAATCAGGCGAACCTGATGAAAAATCCTCCCGGTCACGGCCGTCAAGTGCTCTTCTAAAGACAGCCGTGAATCCAGGAGGACGCCCAAGTTGCGAGCCCTCTCCGTGGGGGCCAATGATTCACCCCCAATAGTCAGTGATGGCGTCAACTGACTATATCGGGACGTCGGAAACCACAGCCACTCAGTCTTGGATGGGTTGAGCCTGAGCCTGTTCCTCCCCATCCAGATCCGTATGGCCTTCAGGCACCGGGACATCACTTCAAGGGCATCGTTGGGGTGATCCGGGGTGGAGATGTACAGCTGGGTGTCGTCAGCGTACTGATGGTACTCCACCCCGAAACCACGGATGATCTCGCCCAGCGGCTTCACATAAATGTTGAACAGGAGAGGCGAGAGGACCAACCCTTGCGGCACCCCACATATGAGGGGCCTCGGGGTCGACCTCTGTCCCCCTGTCAACACAGACTGCGACCGGTCAGAGAGAAAGGAGGAGAACCACCGCAACACAGTGCCTCCCACCCCCAACTCTTCCAACCGGTGCAGCATGATACCATGGTCGATGGTATCAAAAGCTGCTGAGAGATCTAACAGGACCAGGACAGAGGAGCACCCCCTGTCCCGAGCCCTCCAGAGATCATCAACCAACGCGACCAATGCTGTTTCCGTGCTGTACCCAGGCCTGAAGCCCGACTGGAATGGATCCAGATACGTCGTTTCCTCCAGGTGCTGGGGGAGCTGTTGCGCGACCACACTCTCAACAACCTTCGCAACAAAGCGAAGGTTGGAGACCGGACGATAATTTACCAACATTGCCGGGTCCAGGGAAGGTTTCTTGAGGAGAGGCCTCACCACCGCCTCTTTCAAGGCGGTGGGAAAGTCACCCTCACTCAGCGAAGCGTTTATAATCCCCTGGAGCCAGCCTCGTGTCACTACCCAGGAAGCCAGTACTAACCAGGAAGGACACGGGTCCAATAAACAAATGGTCGCGTTCAGTCTACCCAGAATCCTGTCCACGTCCTCAGGGGTCACAGGATCAAACTCATCCCAGATAACATTCTCAAGACCTGCCCCTGTCTCTCCCCCTGAGACTACCCAGTCGGAGTCCAAATCTTCCCGAATCTGAGTGATTTTGTCATACAGATACTGAACAAAATCCTCGGCTCTACCCTCCAAGGGGTCCTCCCGCGCTTCCTGGTGGAGCAGGGAGCGGGTCACCCTAAAGAGGGCGGCCGGGCGATTATCTGATGATGCAATAAGAGCAGCAAAATAACTACATTTCGCTGCTTTTATCGCCACTAAGTAATTCCTAATGTGGGATCTTACTAGTGTCCGGTCAGATTCAAGAAGACTGGCCCTCCAACTACTCTCTAGGCGTCTTTTCCGGCGCTTCAACTCCCTCAGCTCCTCGGTAAACCAAGGAGCCAATTGAGATCGGCGCCGGGTCAGAGGCCGCAAAGGCACGACCCGATCCAGAGCACCAGCAGCCGCCCTATCCCAGGCGGCCACCAGGTCTCCAGTCGAGGCGTGTGCCAGAACCTCAGGAAATGGCCCAAGCTCCGTCTGGAATCTGTCAGGTTCCATCAGGCGCCTGGGGCGGAACCATCTTACCGGCTCCGCCTCAAATAATTTAACAATCGGTTCTCTGCCCTAATGACCGGCTGGGTAGGCATGGCTGGGTGGTCATGTGACTGGGTGGGCATGACACAGGACTCATGTGATGCTAAGGCAGGACTTCCCTGAGACCCTCCTCACTCTCATTATACAGGTAATCCTCTAGTTACAAATGTAATAGAGCCTGCCAATTACATTTGTAACCTGGGAATACATTTGATTGAATTACATTAAATGAACATGATCACTCCCTGCTTTCCCCAATGAATTTGTTAATCGAATGCACAGGTCTTTAAATGTACATGAGGTATCTCAGGCTGGGGAACAGCATGTGGGGCCTAGTGCTGGAGCAGACCATCCAAGCCTCCCCCAATCCACTGAGATACCTCATGCTCTCTTGGGGTCCCCACAATTGCTTCCCTCACCCCATCTCCCCCACTGGGTCTCCACAGACTGGGCCTGCTTTGCTAGCATCTTAGATTCCACATACTCCTCCCCACCCCATTTTCCATGGATTACTTACTTTTTTTTTTTTTTTGCTATAAAGGTATAGTTTTTACTAATATCTATTCTATTAATAATAGAATAGATATTCTATAGAACTAAATAAGCCATTATATACTTGAAGCATTGTGAAATGCAATCTGATCAGAAACAAGAAATTTGATAAGCCTAATGTACAATGCTTGATAGTAGCATTATAAAAAGACTTTTCCATGAAATGTTTAAACAGAATTTTTAAATCTGGCAATCTTATGTCAAAAATGGCTAAAATGGACTCCTAAATTTGGAAGACGTGGTACTGGGAAGGCATTTTAAATGCTGGAATTATTTACTTACAAAACTTATTCTGCTTTTATAACTGTTTTATAACCAAAATGATGATGGTCGATGGACTAGTAAATTGAAATTTAAGTGCCACCTTCTGACGAAAAGAAAAATTACAAATCTGGGAATACCTATATGAAGAACAGTGAAAATGCCCCTTGGATTACTTTTAGCTACCCTATGACTACTGAGACCCAAATATGAAAATGAGGAAGTTATTCAATTAAAGAGATACTTGAATGTTATACTAGAAGTTTGAATCTGTAAAGGGAACATAAAGCAGAGGTGGTATTTGACTGGTTCGGACTGGTTCAGGCAAACCAGTAGCGGCAATTTGAATTGGTTTGCCGAACCAGTAAATATCACCTCCGGTTGGCCCGGCCCATGCTCGCCCAGTTACCTGCTCACTGCTCATCACTTGCCCTGTCCACCCCAGCCCTATATATGTTGCCTTCGCCACACGGCCCAGCTAATCGCCTCATGGCCTGCTGTGCCAGAGGGATGGCATTGCAGCGAAGCTGCTCAGAAGGCAACCACCACAGTCTTTAAGGTACTTTAATGGTGGGGGGGAGGGAGGTACCATGAAGGGGCAGGCCACAGGTGCTGCCTTCCGAGCGGCTCCGCTGCAAAGGGAGGCAGAAAAGGTTTGGCTTCTTTCTGCTGCAGCATTCAATGTGGCTGCTTCTCTCTTCCTTCTTGGCCTCATACACACAGAGCAAACACGAGAAGGAGGCGAGAAAATTTCATTACGTAATCTCCTTGTAGTAAAATATATTACAATGTATCTTGGTAAGTGTTTCTGTCTGGCAACCCAAGAGTTGACATGATATGCCTTGTCAATCTGCCAGCCCAGCTCAGTTTTCATCTCCCCCAGCAACTGTGCCAATGCCTCTGACATCATTTCTTTCAAATTCTCTTGTTTATTCTCCTTCACCCCTCTGAATCTTAAAGCAAATTCCATATCTCTATATTGTAACATCGTTACATCAACTTCAGCCCTTTCAAGTCTGTTCTGAGTCTCTGCTAATTTATTATCCAAAATTTCCGTAGATGGCTTAATTTCTTCAACTTTATCGTCCACCATTTCAATATCACCTGCCAAACATTTAAATGCCAATAATATGTCTTCTCTAATTTGCCAATTCCAAGTTAAAATCTCCTCTGAAACAGCCTGTATTTTTTCATTAGTTTCATTAATTTTTTCATTAGTT